ATGCTCGTCAGCACGCGTTTGCCTCACTTGCAAAAGTCGCAGCCACTGCGGATCAACGGAGTTCTAAACCGTCACTCTGCGCCACCAGCAAGTCACCCCTTCCTTCACAAATATTGTGTCCAGCTCTAACATGGCTAGTTGACGCAGATCGGGCCCTTTAGCATGATTCTTTTCGATAGGAAACCTCCCAGGAGTGAAGCCGAGAGCTGCCGGTGCAATAGTGATGGATAGATCTCATTATCAGTTTTGATGTAGAGCTTACACTCCTTTGAAAAACGTCATTGATATCACTCCGTATCCTCACCACCTCACGCCGGGAAATTTCTGAGTGGTAGATAATGTTCACAATCTACTAATGCATTTATATTTTTGACTCCGAGACTGAATGTGCCAGTGTGGGCGGAGCTATAGTCGATTTTTTAAGAGGTTGCGGCTTTGCAAAAGGAGGTAACTGATAGTAGGACCCAGGCATATCCCCTTAGATGTTGGATCCGACAACCCCTGGTTTTGGCCAATTTTACCCGCACGAATTTGGCCCGTTTTTGTCCGCACCAGGATCCACTTGACCCCTGCGGGTGTCGCTTTTGTCCGCATTACGGATCTAACCTCAAAAAAGCGCCCAAAATAGATATAATTCTGAAGAAATTTCTCTGCATCCAGAATACCGAGAAGAACAAGATCTACCACTTTCCCGGCCTCCCAGAGCGCAATCGGCGTCGTGAATATCGAATTGTAAAGCAATTACAGCAGCGGAAGCGAAGCTCAGAACATCATCAGGCGTGATTCCTGCTACTATTCGCATCCGGAGCTCGTTGGAGCTGTATCATATGCCCTTTTGAGTTTGACTATCTGATAGTTGTATAGTTAGCCGGTGGCCGATCGAGACACATTACGTGGCAGCCGGAGAGCACGATATCTCAGGTAGATACGGAAGGGTTATTTCCATAAATTCATCCAGCGAGGTAAACATTGAAGTGAACGTATGCGGGTCCTTCAGCGCGTTGGCTCGTTTTGGGTAGACATCCAAGCAGGTGTGTCGCGTCGGCCGCGCTGCCGCGCGGGGCCGATTTTACCCGCACCAGGATCTCACCTTGCCCTCCCTAGTCCACTTTTACCCGCGCAAAATATCGAACTTAGGTCCGTATCTTGGCCATTTTTATCCGCATGACGATCCTACCTTGGCTCATTTTGACCCCCATTTTTGTCCGCACCAGGATCCAACATCATGTGGGGTATGCCGGGGTCCTCGCGTACTGCGCTGTCCTGCTTTAGTCTGCTCTGGTCCACGTATTTTTTGCTACTCGTGCTCTTCATCTTCTTTCACTACCATCTCTTGCATTGTAACTTGAACTTTCCTGGCCTGCACTTTCTCTTGAACTGCATCCATGGCTTCCTCCCGAAGTCCGGAGGCGCCGGGCAGCTCTCGGGATCCTTTCGAGCTGGAACGACTTGCTGAGGAACTTGCGGTACGCGAACGTAGCTCTGCCCCACGCAAGTCGACAGGTGTCGCGGAGGACGATCTTGTACAGCACGAGCTCCCACTGTACATACCACTTTCTCATAACAACCCCCACCTGTGTGCGGACACATTCAACGTCGAGGAGTTCCTGCTATCTCGCGCATACACGTCCCTCACCGACCTACGCTCGGAGTTACGCGAGTATCTAGCAACACTGAAGGAGGAGCTTGTGAAACTGATAAATGACGACTATGAGGCATTTATCAGCTTGAGCACGGACCTCCGGGGAGAGGGCGCGCGGCTGGGGAGGCTGAAGAGACCACTGGGAGACCTGAAGTCGCAAGTCGTTGTACGTTTCTCTGACGAAGTGTCATATACAACTACGTGATGTTATCGTATACAGGAGTCGCGTCAGACTCTGCAAAGCTTGCAGGATGCCATACAAGCCAAGTTGGATCGACGGTCAGCTCTCCGAGATGAGAAGGTACGTGAAGCATCTCGCAGTGTGGTTTGAACAGCACGTATGCAACCTGAAACATATATTATACAATCATCTGCCTTTTCTCTGTACATGAGAGACGAAAGGAGCCATATAGCTCATGTTACTCGTATTATGATCAGGCATTCCTGCACTTGCTCCTCAAGATTTCGGAGTCCATCACACGCCTTGAGTCCCTTCTTCTGGTCGCATCTCCACCTGAAGCGAATGAACCCTCCAAAGACTTGCAGGCGGTGAAAATGTCAATGAGGAGCGACGATGATGCTACAGAGGATAGGTGCGCTCTTGTGTATTAGGGGCATTGAATCTGTACTAAACGTTAGGCAGAGCGCGGGGCAGTCGTGCCAAACATCTTGCCCGTGTGGCGACAGAGTATACGCAGTTGCTTTACCATGTTTCGAGAGCATGCACTGGGCGGTGCGCATTCGTCGAGGAGTCGCAATGGGTTTGTGAGCTATCTATTGAGCCATGACGTACTGTGGTCTGACATTTGACATCATCTCACAGCGCATAGATCGCATCAAGTCTACACTGTCTTCTGACCTTGACCACCTGTTTGCTGTCACAGTAACATCACTTGTTAACGGCAAGGAGCCCGGTAAGGAGGTCCGAGCGACGGAGGCTGAGAAATCCAAGTGGCTCGCAGACATCACTGAATGTCTGAAGACATATGATACACTTGGCTCGTGGCGAGATGCTGAAGACGTCCTCAGACGAGAAGTCGTGCGAAGTTTCGTCAAGAAGGTATGTTCGCTTGCAGGATGCGGCTACATCCCGCTAAATTACTCCACAGAACATTCATCCCGGCGCATTGAGCGCACCTCACTCACCTGTCGTTCCACATACACCCTTCGGTGGTTCGGCGCGTCCGTCCACACCACTCCCAACAGGCCTCCCGCCGCGGACACCATACACTCCCTTCACAGCATTCGCATCCAAGCAGAACCCGTTCGAGTTCAAACATGACTCCCTCTCCTCACCCGGGATCTCCGCGCACATGCTCGACGACCGCGATGACCCACTTGCTGCTTTGTACAACACTGTACTCAAGTTCATTGATCGCGACCTGAAGCGTATCATGGAGATTGCAGAGCATGTCTGCGTGAAGTCCGGGTCGAGATCGACCAGAGAGAGTCAGCCATACAGTCTCGTCAACTCGACTAAGCCGAGGGGCGAGGAGTCAGGCTTCGAGATTATGGCGAACGTCATTTGGTCCGAGGTTGGGCGGGCAGTCATGGACGAGCTCGGAAGTGTTGTCTTTGCGGCAGGAAAGCCAGAGGAGTTCCGTAAGGTGCCTATCGGTCTATGCAAATGCGCAATCATTGCTGCCAAAGCTAATATTGTCTGCTAGCATTACGAGACTACGCAGGCGTTCATAAGGGCTCTCGAGTTCCTAGCGCCTTCGGTACATTCAATCGAGGCAATGCGGACGCACCTAGTATATGCAGCTTTTGAGCGACGGTGGCAGCTGGCTGTCTACTTCCAGCTGCGATGGAAGGAGATTGTACCGCCCTTAGAGGATAAGCTGATCATCACTCGTCTCGAGCGATCAGCTGACAAAGGTTGGAAATATTGTGTACGCATTCCACGCAGTCTGACTGAACCTGTACTTCGTGCATAGCCGCTTCGCCCTTTGCGACATCCCAAGCGGCAGCAATATGGGAGGCTATCAGTACATGCTGGAGTGCCGAGGTTTACATCCCCGATCTCGCATATCGCTTTTGGAGGTTGACGCTGCAGGTTCGTCTGCCTGTCTCCAGAAGTCTCACACAAGTTTGAACGTCCAGGTAGCTCTTCAACCGATATAGAACTTGGTTGGATAGTAGTCTTCCTGCCTTCGAGCCTCCCCCTAAGATAGCTGCGGTAGTAGCTGCGGAAAAGGCAAGTATCTTGCTCGTCGTTGTCCCCCGCACAATTCCGTTTACTGATTCTGACACAGACTGGCGGATCTCCCTCCCTCACACGAGCGACTACACCAAACCTACCTACCGAAGCCGCTTCTCCAGAAGCAACAGCAGCGGACGAACAGCTTCTGCAACAATTTGCAACAGCTATTGTCGACATCAAGGCGATAGAGTCAAGCGCTTGGAGGATCTGGAGGGAGGAACTTAGCATCATGCTTCCCGACATCGAGTCTGCGGAGGACGACGCACCGAAACCTGAGGGTCTGTCACTTTTCAGCTCAGTTGTCCTACCATTTATTGATGCGAGTTTAGATATCTTGAAGCAGTCTCTGTCAAAGCTCACGTCCCTTCTCCAACCTCTATCTAACCAGATCGTCTATATATTAGCGAGGCGAGCTTGCGACGCGCTGTTGGCCATGCGGTCGATACCCTCGCAGTTCCGGGCCATGTCATCTAAGCGGAAACCCACGGAACCCAGTCACTTCATCTCGCTTATCTTCCGCCCGCTCAAGTTATTCTTTGCCATCGGGGCAGCGGATGGGCCAGGTGCCGCCCTAAAGGCTGACTTCCTCCAACATTATTCGACGGAGGTTTTTGAGATTGTTGCTCAGCGGTAAGGCATAGTTGGAGGTTTGCAGCATCTGGATGTCACTTACAAGGGGTGCTGTCGTTTGAAGGTACATTTACTTCCTCTCATCCATGAAGAAGACCGAGGAGTCCTTGCGCCGATTGAAGAAGGGGAGGGAATCTGCCTTCTCGTTTTTGAGCGGCGGAGGTTCTAGGGACAACAGCGGTCGCGCCGATGAAGAAAAAATCCGCGCTCAGATGATTCTGGATGTAGAAGCCTTTGGGGAGGAGGCAAAATCGCTTGGTGTTCCGACTCGAGAGAATGAGACCTACAAGGCACTAGTCGATATGGCGCAAGCTCCTCTGACGGATGGTAGGTCTCCGGCCTCGCTCGGCGAACAAGAATGTTAATAGTCTGTACAGAGTCTTGATTAGATACCCTGTTCGCATCCCGGGACGTTTACACCATATCCATGTTTTAATGTACACTGAGGGTATTAGTAGGAATATCAGGCGGTGAGCATCTACTATGGTATATAGCGCCTGTCCGAGATACAATAATCGGAGAGTCGTTCCGGTGGTCCTGAGTCCCGTTCGTCGTCGCCACCTGCACTTTGTTGCTGACGAAGGATTCTCCGCAGGAATAGCATGTTCCTTGCGACGGCGCCCAACCCCGGACGCGCTGCAGTGCGAATTCTTCGAGTGTCTCGAAAAGGTCACGGTCCACGAGGTGTTTTGAGATGATGAGCATGTCCCCATCCGACCTGTATGATTCCAGCATACCGGTCAAGATTGTCCTGAACTCTGCGTAGAGAGCGCCCTTGGATGCTTGATTGCCCTGCATTGACTCGACCAGCCGCTTGAACAAGCGAGGCAGCGAAGTGACTTTTGTGGAGCTGGTCGACATGAGCGAACCGAATGTGTTCTGTAGAATTGAGCGTAAGGAGGCAGTGACCGCCCGGATGATATCCGACGATTCCGCGATTGTCGAGTCAACTGCTGATGGCCTGCAGCTCACTACTCTATGCACAGAGTCGAGTTGGTTCTTGAGCAGACGGAACCAAACATCCTCGAGCGGCAATGATATGTCCGAACCAGGTTTTGAGCGTTCGACGCAGATCGCTACGGAAGTGTGAGCAATGCATTCGAGACTCTGGACAAAGTCCCAGATGTCTTGCTCCGCAAGCGGTTCACTGACGAGCGTTACCGCGATCCGGACTGACAATGCCTTCTCATAGGATTCCGCCTTCTCCAGGGCTGCAGACGAGTCGCCCTCGCGATCGAGGAGCCAGATTGCGGCGTCGTATACACGATGGCTTTCACATGTCTCGACAATCGCAGGTATGTCGATGAAGTCACGAGGAAGATATTGAAGAGTTGGAATAATGCCAGAAGGATCGTAGAGGCAGTGTAGTGAAAGGTACAGTCGGCGGAGACTAGGCGCTACGTGAGATGATGGACCACCCTTTCGCATAGGATCTACTGAAGCTTCTTCCTGGGCGGATTGTGGCGAACCGAGCAAATAGTGCAAGTACTCGAAACGCTCTCGGTCCTCGTCTGGGCCAAATGATTCTACCGCACGCTCGTGAAAATCGGGTAAGTACTTGTCAAGCAAGGCTGCTGTGCCGGAGATGCTGGCATGGAGGAGGGCTGGCAACGACTCGGACACCACGTCAGCGACGTCTTTGGGCAACATCCCCTTGTTCTTTCGTTTTGCAATGTGGAGCACATCATCTAGGGAAGGAAGCAATGTTGTGCGAGGAAGATCCGGATCTTGCAAGAAAGTCGTATAAAGCGATGACCAGCGATTCTCTTGTCTGTACCAAGAACGCAGAATCCTGTAGAACCCAGCCTCCTCGAACAGCACCAGAATGTCTTCACTGTCATGGGGCGTATACGCGGACAGCAGATACTCCGCGGCAAGTTGACGATCCTCGCGAGTGCTCTCATCCGGGTCTTCTATAAGACCAACCAAAATGCTATGCAACGTGCTGGGCGCTATCTCCAGGTATTGAGGGTACTTGGGTATGTTCCTCGCGATAAAGATGTGGACGAATGTCCGCTCGTCGGGGGCAAGCTCTGGAGACGCCAAGATCTCGAGCAAGATCTTGACAATCACCAATCGACTAATGCTCCTGGTCTCTTCGTTCAAATAAGTATCTTCGAAGGCTAAATCAAGGGTGTGAAGGAACGCTTCCGGGTCGAACCGGAGTAAGAGCCGGGCATATGGGTACGTCGGTTCCACCCCATTCTCCTCATCGGATGTCAACACCAGCTTCCCGCCTTCGCCCACTGGCCAGACACTGGAACGACCGAAGAAAATGAACGTGTAGACATCGTTTCGTGCCTGTTCCCCTTCGTCCTCAGGGATAGGGTCTTCAGACGGATATGTCAATCCCGTCAAGACGTCGGCCAAGTACGGATAGATCTTGTAAGCGTTTAGAATGGTCTCCTCGATCGCGTCGCCGTCGACGTACGCCCCAGAATCTGGAGAGGCTTCCATGCGTGCCCTGCGGTATTGCTGAACCTGCCTGATAAGGCCAAGAAGCTCCACGATTGGGGACACATAGTCCTTGAGTGCCCGAGTGAACACATAAATCAAGGCGTCATATAGTCTGTGTTTCCGGCATAGCGCGATCGCTTGGTTGATATCTAGGCAGTCCGGATCAATGTGCCATATGACCCTCTCCGCCAGGCTGGGCTTGTTGTCCACGTCATGCAATGTGATGAGTTGCTGAGTGATCCGTGGTGGTACATGTCGGATGACGCCGTCAAGGATAAATGGTTCCAGTTGCAATAGGTATATGCGTGTGATGCCGTTGTCGTCATAATATTGGAATAGATCTTCCCAAAGGAACTCGTAGTCGTCCAGAGCTATGCACGCACGAGCGCAAGTCTGAACCAGTTCTTCGAAAAGCGACGTCCGGTCGACTCCGCGGCCATCTGGTGTGACGTGGGTCCCATCCATCATCCGATCCTCCGAGAAGGCATAGCGAGCCGATGCTGTCATCAGGTCCCGCATCTTCTCGCCGACTACTTCTTTCAGCTTGTCCGGCTTGTCAGGAAGCCCGTTTCTGTTCCCGGGCGCTTCACCGAGGTAGTACGAACGGACCAGCTCGATGGCGCTCAGGAAATCGCCGTTCTCGACGAAAGATAATATCCGGTCTGCCCACGTGAGTAACGTGCCGACCTGAAGCCCATGTTGGCCCTGTTGGCGACGGTCAATGATGAGTCGCAGACGCAACGCCAGGTCGGCACACATACCAAGATGAAGATCTTGCCCTTGTAAACTCGGAAGCTGTGGGCAACCTCGGTGACCGCGTCGGAATATGAAACCGAGCCATTCGTGGTGTGGCTCAACGTCGGAGAGACAAGCGTCCAGGAATCATAGTCGACGCGTTCGACGACCTTGAAAGCGCGGACATCGTAGACTTCCAGATGATGACCGGTGAGGACAATGATTTGCTAACTTACGAACGTCAGCAAAGAGATTCAAGACGTAAGGGCTATCAGTGAACCCACATTGACATTCAACCACTGCAGAGCGAGAACATCGTTCTTTGCAGACCAGCTCCCCGCCTCCTCAAATGTGAGCCTGCCAACTTCTACCGACGTGATCTTCCCAGTTTTGGGATTGCGCGTCTGTTCCTTGACCCTCGTCTCCGAGACACGAATCAAGCTCATTGTGTTGCCCCATGAGTAAACGAGCATCGGGGTGGTCGCCGCAGTCTTCGTGCCATTTGCCGGTGTCTTCTGACTGGTACGCTCTGACGAACTCTGTGAACCTGAGTCCGGAATGATGCTGGGGAACCAAGCCAGACAGCCCTTGAATCTTGACTTCGACGATACTTCATCCGCCTCGCGATGCCGTCTGTACCATGTTCTTGGGGATGGTCGCAGCCCTACTACGACTAATTTGATAGGCGTCAGGAGGGCAATGAGGTTGTATGCGTCTGTCTCATGGGAGGCAGTACCGAGCGGCAGGGGCGCCATGCCGAGTATTGTACCTGCCTTCCGTGATCTGCGTCGTCGGAACGGATGGGTGCCCGGTGGCGCATGAGGCGGCGTTGGAATGGGATCCTCCTCAGGATATTTACCCAGTATGCGGAGAACGTCTGGGGCTTCCACAAACAGGATCTTGCCAAGCGTGTGGTAGAACGCGAGGCCATGGTCATCGGCCGAGACAATCGCGGTATGCCTCCCTGCGACGAATCCGATGCTCACAATCCGGGAGCCCGCAAGATGTCCTTCCCGTCTTCCGGACGCTACTTCGGCGACGTGAGTAGGTGGGACAAAACGTGCTGGCGCCTTTGGTGTGCTCAAGTCAAACAACTGAATGTGACCTGTCGCATGGCCAACAGCGACGTAGGTATGGTCGAACGAAAGCGCCAGAGCAGTCACAGGTCCCACTGCCTTATCTACAGGAGTGCGATGAGACAGCATTAAGGCAATCATCTAGGTATGACGTACCCGGTGCCTCCGAACCACATATACAACGAAGGTTCTGTTGGAAGTCAAATACGAGAATCCTGCCCGTGTCCGTGCCTACGCATATTAGACCATTCGCCGCAATGACGGTTGGCGATCCAGGAGGCTGTGTGCCCAGTAACGCAGACGCCTTCTGGGGCTGATTGGAATACAAGTACTCGCTAATGCGTCGTAAGTGTGTCCAGCGGAATACGTCCCGGCTCTGCGAGATGTCCTGTTTGGAAGCTCCGTGGGCAGGGCTGGCCGGAAGATGTACCGACGAAGATGTCCTTGACAGAGCAGAAAAATGAGAAGCAGGACCTGAACCGTCTTCATGTGCATGGGAGTAGATGGTGCCAACACTGCCGTTGGAAGGTACTCGCGATGCTTGTGGGGTCGCGGATCGCAGTCGAGAGATGGTGGGATGCAAGAATGGTCGTGATAGCTTCGGTGTGGAGCTCGCAGTATGTGTCTCGGCCATCCTCGGGGGCGTGAACACGCCAGAGACGGCGATCGCAGGAGGTGAGAGTGAACCGTCGGACGGCACCTCAGGACGCTTCGTGCTGTACATGAGCTACTGCGGTACAGCGCATGGCAAGCACACTCACCCGTGCCTCGTCCTCCATGAGTGCGACAAACTTCTCGTTCTCCTCCACTCGCTTCAGCAGAGACACCTCAACTTGCCGCTCCTCAATCTCATCGTCCTCATGCTCAGAGCCGAGCACGTCCTGCAGCTGTTCACGGTACGTTCCTGACGGTCCCGCGTCCACACCGTTGTAGACAAACTCCTCGTCCTCATCCGAACCATCCTCATGACCAACGTGGTCCTCGGTCCCATCTTCCGAACCGCTCATGAGTTCCTCGAAGCGCGTGGAGTAGTCGCCTGGATGGTCTTCCTGGACGTCCTCGCCATCGTCGGACAAGTCGAGAGACAGGCGGGACCCTGGGCGGGCCTCATGCTCAGCGTGATCTGTCCCATTCATAAGCTAGGATGCGGGCGACGGCGAGCACGTCGAGTAGCTTGCCAGATAGCTGGATGCTGCGCTGCTGGATGTCGTCACTCGTGTGAGCGCGGACTGCGCCAGCGGGGTTTCAAACTGAGTTCTTGGATTGGCTATCACCAGGCGGGGATTGGAAGGTGGTGCCAAGGATTTGAGAGACCGATGGCTGGACGCGACCCAGAAAGTCAATTACCCCGCGGCCGGCAAGCCCATTTTCTGTTTTTATGTAATATCTAACACTATACCGAATGGGAGGACCTGCAAAATCCCCCTCAACTATTCCTATCTCCTCGCGTTCCCGGAGGCACAGTGCTCTCAAAACAAATCCCACTCGCATTCCCCCAGGCTGGCGTGAATCATGGCCAACGCAGCCACCATGGGCCCCCCTCCCTCTCCCAAAGAGCCCCGCCGTTCGGGGAGGCGCACCGTACCCTCCGCATCCTCCAGCAAATCCCCTGCAGGCTCCCCCACGTCCGACGCCGCACCCAAGTCCAAGGACAACGCGCCCCGACCCCCACTCCCGCCCTCCAACAACTCCAAGAACAAGCGCCACAAGCAGGACGACCACGACGAGGCCCCAGACGAAGCCCACAAGGCTGCGGTCAACGGCAAGAGCAACGCGCGGGCCAACCGCAAGGGAAGGGACAAGGAGAAGCCTGCTCTGACCATCGACACAAATGGAGGTGAGGATGGACCTACTGTCTCGATATCGGGAGGCGACTCGACGGCGGATCCAGAAGAGGAGGGCGAGGGCGAGGACGGAGAGGAGCAGGGCGTCACGCGGTGCATTTGCGACGACGGTGGTGAGTCCTGACGCGTTCTCAGCGCGTCGCGCTCGTTAACATGGAGGGAGAAGATGATCCTGGCGAGTTCATGGCCCAATGCGAGATATGCAAGACTTGGCAGCACGGCCAATGCATGGGCTACACGAGTGAGGAGTCGCTACCGGAGCAATACTTTTGTGAACAATGCAGGCCGGACTTATATGTGGAGCTTCTCAAGTGCGTATCGCTTTGTCCCTGTGGCCACAGCCCGTTGACATGCCACACCCGCGCAGAAAGCACGCGAAGAAGGGCCGGCAAGCCTCAGCTCATTCACACCACCCATCTAGTGCTGGCGGACGGACATCGCGATCACATTCCCCTCTTCATCATATGAAGCAGCCCACGAAGCGCCGCAACACCATGAACAGCCGGGATGCGGCATACGAAGAAAGCTTCCAAGCTCTCATTGAGGCTACTGCCGCCGAAGCCGCTGCTCAGGAGGCCAGCATGAAGACCGCCACAGTCGCCGTGTTGAACGGCGCCACCAACGGGCACACCGAGGTGGACCAGGATATTGCTGCCAGCCGCAAGAAGCGGAAGAGGACAGAAGACGAGGTGTACGTGCCTATCACGCTCTACCACGATATGTCTGATATTGATTGTGACCAACACTCTCAGAGTGCCAACCAAACGTACAAGGTCGGCATCGACTGCGTCAGATCGACCACCTCTCGTGCCTATAGCTGGCGATGCCAACCCTCCGAATGGCATTATTGCGAAGTCTGCGCCAATGCCAACTCTACCTACGAGCAAGAGCGCATCGCGCAACAAACGTGTGGCAGCGGGAAACCGCAAAGGGCAGGCTCAGGAGTTCGCACTCGACGGCGAGGAAGGTCAGCCACCACGCGCCTGCTATATATAGAATGACGTAGCTCACGTGATACTCTGGCGAAGCTGGCAATACTCCCGGACCTTCTGCACGCAGACAAGCCAGTAACACCCGTGTCAAAGGTATGTTTCAAATCATTCTTGTATTGCGCTTTATTAAAGTTCGCTTCCATAGCAATCACGGCAAACGAACACGGAAATCGACGAACTCAAGGCAGTGCTGGGGCAGGGCTTGGGGTGAATGCGAATTCGCACGCGTCTGCCGCTGCAGCATCGCGCGCGTACCACAACACGCACGCATACGCCGTCTCGCAGCAGCCTCTATTCACTTCGTGGGGTCTTCCCGACTATCTCGCTCATCTCGAGCACATGCTGCCGACGGACGTACCGCGACCACTAGAAGTGCGCGGGTCGGGAATCGACCCATCAGGGCGAGAATCGCTCGAGCGCACCACAGAACGCGGCGTCAAAGTGAAGTGGCCGAGCAAGCGGATGAGCGTGGGGGACATGAACAAGCGCGTGAGAGCGCTCGTAGAATGGGTCGGGAGGGAACAAGCCAGTGCACTGGAGAGGAGCAGACGCAGAGAAGCCGTGGAAAAGGCTCTGCGGGAGGCGCTCAATGCAAGGGCGGATCACCGGTCAGTGGAGGAGGCCGGGCCTGCGGAGAACGGAGAGAGCGGAGGGACAGCTGTCGTTGAAGGTGCCGCAATCACGGAATCACCCTCACAAGAGAAGAAAACACCTCCACTCGAATCCGCCCCAGTGCCTGTCCCCATCCCCACTGTTCTTTCGACACTCCCCGATTCTGGCTCGGAGACGATGAAGATGATGGAGGAGCTCATGGAGGAGCTCATCAGATTCCAGGAGAGGTTTGGTCCGGGAGCCAAGACGAAAGAGCGGGAGCGGCGGACGGTGACGGTATGAAATGCCAGTGCTACAGCGGGATTCTCGGACTCTGTCACGGTTGCTTATTGTGTATTGTGCTGTCTCCATCCTACGTACGTATGTGATCTGTCCACTGCTGTTCTGTACATTATTGTGTCATACCTATTACCGTGTCGTATTACTGCCTATTCCGCCGATATCCAACTATCTCACTTCTCATTTGTTCCATGGCGCCTTCGGAGGCTTTAGTTGTGAGCCAGATAACGCGAGAAGACTGATAAGATAATCGCATGACTCGAGACCCATGTTGGGCACGTTGTCCGATCGGCGGTGCCACCTTTACGACCTCTGAACTTCGTCTGCGGGCATCTCTCGCCAATCCCGAAAATGTCCACCTCGGCGACACTAGAGTACTCGTCCAATGCACCAGAACCCATCTCATATCCCAGGCTTGCTCAGCACCACCTTCTCCAAGATGGTACCCCCGACTACCTGCGGCTCATCCTGACCTCGAAAGTTTACGAGATGCTCAAGGAGACACCCTTGGTCTTTTGCCCCTCGCTCAGCACACGGCTAGGCAACCAGATCTGGCTAAAGCGAGAGGACCTGCAAGAGGTCTTCAGCTTCAAAATTCGGGGAGCCTACAACTTCATGGCAAGCCTCACCGAGCAGGAACGCTGGAAAGGCGTCATCACATGCAGCGCGGGTTAGTGTGCGTACTCGTAGAAGATCCCCGCGCGCATGTGAACCGACTTCTCCTACAGGGAACCATGCGCAGGGCGTCGCACTGTCCGGCTCGCGGCTCGGCGTGCCGTGCACCATCGTCATGCCAAAAGGCACACCGTCCATCAAGGTGCGGAACGTGTCTAGGCTCGGCGCGAAGGTGGTCCTCTTCGGCGACGACTTCGACGAGGCAAAGGCGGAATGTGCGCGTCTCGCCGAGGCGCACGGCCTCGCGTTCGTCCCGCCTTACGATGACCCGCTCGTGGTGGCAGGCCAAGGTACCATCGGGATGGAGATCCTGAAGCAAGTTCCAGACTCGGAAACCCTGGACGGCATATTTGCTGCGGTGGGAGGCGGCGGACTTGTCGCTGGAGTCTGCGAATATGTCAAGCGCATTGGCTCTCCGAACATCAAAGTTATTGGCGCAGAGACACTTGATGGAGATGCGATGGCACGAAGTCTTGAGAAGGGTCATAGAGTGACGCTGAAGGAAGTTGGACCCTTCAGCGACGGTACAGCCGTGAAGATCGTGGGGGAAGAGCCATTCCGCATTTGCCAAAAGTTGCTCGATGGCGTCGTAAAAGCTGATACAGACGAGTTGTGTGCAGCCATCAAGGATATCTTTGAAGGTGCCTAACTCGATGTTGAGCCGGATGGTCCTTGTGATCTGATATCATCATTTTATAGAGACACGTTCGATAACGGAGCCGGCGGGTGCACTCGGTCTAGCAGGGCTCAAGAGATACATCTTAGACAACAATCTCGTTGGCGAGAACAAAAAGTTTGTCGCAGTCGTCAGCGGTGCCAACATGAATTTCGATCGCCTACGCTTTGTCGCAGAGCGTGCAGAGTTGGGTGAGGGTCGAGAGGCACTTCTCAGCGTGGAAATCCCGGAGAAGCCCGGAAGGTACAGTCTCCTAATTCTCAAGATTACATGTAGGTATTGATTGGTTATAACTTCAGCTTCATTCAGCTGCACAGTCTCATCAACCCACGAGCTACAACGGAATTCGTATATCGGTTCAACGACCCGGAGAAAGCGCAGATATACCTGTCCTTCAAGCTCGAGACCACCAACCGTGCTGTCGAGGTTGCGGAACTTCTCACAGCCTTGGAACAACAAGGCATGAAGGGTGTTGACATCAGTGACGACGAGCTTGCAAAGGCACATGGGCGATACATGATCGGTGGTGTCAAGCATGTGCCTAACGAACGGTTATTTCGCTTCGGTATGCTTAGTTTGATCATCTGTGGGGCTGTTGAGTGACGCGTCTCCTTGGTAGAATTCCCGGAAAGACCTGGTGCACTTCGAAAGTTCTTGCTTGGCTTGCACTCAGGATGGAATGTTTCGCTGTTCCACTACCGCAATCATGGAGCAGGTGCGTCTTGATTCTTCGGAAGGGGACTGAGCTCACCCCTCTGCCTGTTCACCAGATCTGGGTAAGGTCCTCGCTGGCATCCAGGTACCTCCAAACGAAGCGAATGAGTTCCAAGCTTTCCTAGACAATCTCGGTTATCCCTACGTGGAAGAGACAGACAACGAGGTCTACAAGCGTTATCTCAGAGGTTGATCTCTCGATGCCAATTACAATTTGTCGCCCTTCTTGGAAATGGGATACATTATGGAACTACGTTTGGCGGAATTCTAGAACTAGTACTGTGTCATGATTGCGAGGTATACATGCAGGGATGAAGCATTGTTCCAGATGTTTGATATCCAAGCCAGATTGAATAGATCGAGTGAGTGAACATGGGATTAGTTATGG